AGGAAACATTGATAGCACAGCACCCAATAATAATAATAACCTGTATCCAATTCAAAGCTCATAGTCACACTCTGGGATCAGTGGAGGACTTTGGGCTGTCAAATTTCAGCTGCACCCTGTGCGACAGAGGAAGAGGAGTGCAGGGGGAGTGCACTGCCCCCGGCAGTGCAATCCCAGTGGGGTGCCATCACAGCTGCTCCCCCACCTGCACTGGGTGCCTTGCCCCGCTCCAGGATCCGTGCCAGCCCCGCCCCGCCTGCTCTTCGCCCCCGGTGCCAGAGCATGAAGCTCCACCACTGTATGTGACACTAAAATTTGGCACCCCAGTCTTTCATGCTCCATTCTACAGCATTGTTTTGGTGCCCCCTGTAGGACAGAACCCAGTGTGGCCACATCGGTTGTGCCCACCCCAAAACTGCCTCTTCTGGGATGCAAATGGTATGTGCAGCCACGTTTTTCAGAAGAAAGGGAATCACAAGCTGCCCTTCTGCTCTGAAGTCCATCTCACCTCTGGAAATCTATAGTCATACCTCGGGTTACAGATGCTTCAGGTTGCGTTTTTTCAGGTTACGGATGCGCCGAAACCCGGAAGTACAGGAACGGGTTAATTCCGGGTTTCGGCGCGTCGCTGTGGGTTGCAAACTTGCATGCTGCACGGATCATGTTCGCAACCCGAGTGTCCACTGTATTGACGAAGTCTCCAAGTGGACTGGAAGGGAATGAAATAAAAAAATTCCTTCCAGTAGCACCTTAGAGACCAACTAAGTTTGTTATCGGTATGAGCTTTTGTGTGCATGCACACTTCATGGGAGGGAATGGAGATGCGTGAATAGTCAAGAGCCACTGGCTTAAGTAACCTGCAGTAATAGTCCTGTAATAGTGATGGTTATCTCTCTTCTGAATTAACTTGTTGCTATAAATCAAGTAGGCACTACAAAGGGACAGAAGAAGATCCAGCTTGCTTGGCAGCACTAATAGATACTAATAGATGCTGATAGGCACTGGAGGAAGCCCTGAGTGAAGGGAGCCTCGCTGCGTTCCAGTCATGCCTCTCGGCACATTGCTGCAATATTTGCTCAGAACAATATTACCCTAAACGCTTCCTAATTATTCCGCTGGATTAGTGAAAACATGTTATATTATTGACGGATCTTTTGCAATATTTATAAAACACGGAGAGGATTATGGAGGAATAAATAAATATGTAGAGCTTGCCTAATGTTTAAATAATAAATATTCCGCCATCTCTTTGCTCCCCTCACCATCCGCAAGTTGGCTTAAACATACGGCATTTTCAATAAATCTTTAATATCTTGGTAAATATTTATTTATTTGCTTCAGAAATGTGAGGGAATTACAAGGCGGCTTCCTAAGCTCTGGAAAGGCCAGGCAGCTGAAAACACCAACCTTGCCCCAACCAATGCATTTACATATATCCCTCCTGTTGTTGGAAACAACTATCTTTTTTCTTTTTTGTTGGTAACAACTACAACCTTCATTTGCTGATTTTCTCCTGGAGTTGGAGCTGGTGTTTAACTAACAATAATTGCCTGGCAGTCCGCCACTGACATCTCCTAGATGAGCATGCTCATCTATTTACCTCTTCCATTTCCTAAACAGTTCGTCTTTTGCCAAAACTCTCACACAAAACCCCAAGTTGCAGGCTCGCTTACATGATCAGTTATCTTTAAAAAGCACCTATGTTTTTATTTGGAACATCTGGAACTTCCATAATATATCTGCCTTATATCAGTTCAAGATGGTTGGTCCATTGAGCTCTGTATTGTCTACTCTGAAAGGAAGCAGCTCCCCAAATAGAGATCTACTAAACAGAGCTATAAGCAGAGCTCCTTTTCAGCTGGGACTCAACAGAACTCACTTCCGGCACCTCTCAAGTGGGTGCCACTGCCATTCTAAGACAACAAGGGAGGTGTTTATGGTGAGTTCTGGCACCTATTTTCCTAGAAAAATAGCACTGTCTTTATGAGATCCTTTTAGTCAAAGATGTTGGGAACCGACCAGGAAAGGGGAACCTGTGGCCCTTCAGATTTTCAAGGACTACAACTCTCTCAGGCAACAAGGCCAGGGAAGATTGTTTAAAGAACAACTGAAGGGCCACAGGCTAGCCATTTATGCTGTTGATTGTTAGTCTACAAGGCGTTTATGTTTTGCACTTGCAAGTGCTACATGGTCCTAATTCAGGTTTCTATATATGGTCCCTTACCAAAGAGCAGTACACTCAGCAGAAGACTGAAAATATACATGGTCAGTGGAGAATCTTTTAGAGTACACTCTGTTGAAATAGAGCTCTCAGGATTTGAAAGCCATCCTTTTATCCCTAGAAATTTCAAATCAGAGGTCAATTGTGTCCCTCTGCACCATCCAATTTCCAATATAAGCAGTGTGTTTTGAGAACCATGCTATCTTGCGGGCTTTAAAAATTAAATGCCCAAAACGTAGTTAAACCATCTATTTTTTTTAATAGGATGGGCAGGCCAAAGCGTGGCAAATAAATGGTGATTATAAAAAATGCAAGGTAAGTCGCCAAGGTTTAACAGCAGCACAAATAAAAAAATGTTTATGTGTTCATTATATGGATTCTGAGATCTCAGCAAATATGGTTTTAATACCCATGGATTGTTTGTATATACTGTGATTAAATCAAAGAGAGCTAGTGAGATGGATCTAACTACTGTAGTTACTGAATGTCTGAGTTGCACTTTGGTGCTCTGAGGTGGGTGATATTAAAATGATAGTATCCTTTTCTCTTCTCCTCATTCTGTATCCTTCTGGTCCTTCATTCAAGCTTGGCTTGCTAGAACCCAAACTAGGTTCTTCTTTTTGAAGAATTTGCAGAAAGATATAGAAGTTTTTTTTTAAGGATTTCCACATGCACTCTTGATTAAGCCAAAGCAATGGCATCTTATTCATCTCTTAATTTTACAATGCATGTTGGGGAGATGACCAAATTCTGTACTAGGCCTGAAATTCTATCCTTGTTATCAGATTGCTTTTGGTATGAGCAATCAAGCCTTTCTATCTATATAGTATATACCTCATTGGCCAATGCTGAACGCAGAGAGTGGTAAACTCAGTGGACCCTGGCAATACAAGGCAGCAATAGGTGTGTTCTTATTTGTGCTGTGCCCAGCTCATTTTGCCTGTGCTATTCAGCCATGTTCTCGAATGGACAACTCTCCAGGGGCCACACACCAGTGATGGGAGTGGCAAGAGACAAAAGGTGAATGGAGCAACAAATGTAAATTGTAGCCTAATTTCTACAAATGCTCTCACACTTCCATCCTCTCTATCCTGTATCTAAAGAAGGACACAATGCAGACAGGTAAAAACAAGGAAGGTACGAAGCAGGCTTAGTGAGGGGTGTGGCATGAGTCTCAAAGGCTGAATAAAGACAGCTGGAGGGATGTCCCCCCTGGGCTTGAGATTCCCCACCACTGCTGTAAGCCCTTGATGAAACTACAAACCAGTATAGGCTGGGCCATAAAAACAAATGGGCCATTGTCCACCAACATCAGTCTGCCATCACTCAGCCTCCACCTACCTGCCTTCTTACTAACTCACAGGCAGTATCTGGGCTTGCCTTTTATGGACTGGTTTCAATTCCGGTTGATTTCCCTGCCTTCTGCCTTGCCTGTCTCAAAGGGCACCAGCCATCACTGCTTCAATCCATTTTTACATAAGATGCTAAGTTTACTGAGGAACTCAAAAACTCAAAAGGATTCCAGCTTTATTGTAACTTACTGTAACTGTCTGAACACACACTCGTTCACAAGAATTCACTTTGGCGCAAATAGATATCTAAATAATGTACTGCCTGCAGTGCTGGTCTTTAACCAGGATTTCATGACAACAATGGATCAGTGCCCTGACCTGTGGTGGTCATATCCTTGGCACTGTAAGTTGGGACCAGCCACACCTTTTTCCTGAGGCTGAGCCACTCAGTAGGCTCAATGGCTGAGTGGGGATTTGAGTCTTCATTGCCTATATCCAGGTCCAATTGAATTCCAGCCATGACATCAAGCTGGCCCAAGGAACATCATCCAAGGAACACCAAGAATTAATCCAAAAAGTCAACCCAAGTTTCAGATTGGTTCATGTTACTTCAAATTAGGCAGCTTGCCTGACCCTTTGGTGGTGGTTGTAACTCCACAGGATCTGGCTCAAATGATATTCCTACAGCCTTGTTAATAAAGGGACTGCAACACGCAAAGAAGAAAAGAAAAAGAGGGTGTTGTAATTTTAAGCCAATGCAAGAAAGCACTTGTGTCTGCTGCCATTCTGAGAAGTTCATGTGGCTGCAGGGAGTCAAATACCGTGAGCGGATTTTTAAAAGGGGGAATGGAAATGTCATGCCCATTAATAACATTCATAGATCATCGTAATAATAATAATGCTTTGCACTCCTCAAGCACCTTCAACCCAGAGGTGTCAAATCATTCTCCAAAAGGACGGCTAAGTATTACCACCCCCAATTTACTGATGGAGATGGAAGAGCTCAAGGTCACACAAGAAGTCATTGTGAAAACTGGTTGGAATACCCAAATTCTGACTCTCCTGCCTCCTGACTGATAGGCAAACTAGGATAATAATAATTTGCTTTCCATTTCTGTTCTTCAGAGAGCCAAGAAGATTTGGAAAGCATTTTTCCACCTTTATCCATAACAGGGCAGGTGCATTATGACATGTTCCTTTCTTCCCAAAGCTGAAAGTGTTGGCTGCTGGTGGGTGCAGAAAGAGATACAGTCCTTTTATCCAACCAGGCAAATGGCATGATCCTGAGAAAATGCAACCCAGGCAGCAACAATTCAATGTGTGCATATGTCTGTGTCTCTGAGCGGAAGGAGGAGGGATAATGCAAGGAGCATAGGGAACTGTCTTATAATGATTTAGACTATTGGTCGATGTAGCTCAGTATTGTCTCCACTGAATAGCACTAGCCATACAGGATATGTCAGGCAGGGCTCTTTCCCTGTCCTACTTGAAGATGCCAGGGATTGAATCTAGGACCTTATGATGCAAAGCAGATGCTCAGCCACTAAGCTACAGCTGTTACCTGACACGCTATTTGTATTTCACTTTCCCACATATATTATGCCTAAAGCAGTTCACAAGAAAATAATGGCCTGTAGAAGAAGAAAACCCACTATCCATTATAACCATAGAAGATAATTCAAATTAGTTTCATAACAACAAAAATACATAATAAAAAACGTCAATACCATGTCACAATTTCTGAATAACTGAACAAAATGAAACAGAAATTAATCAATGGTAATAATTTATCCACAACATTGCTCTATTTATGCCTCTTTTCTCTCACTCTCACTCCGAGATATTTGGTTCAGTTTGCATTTAAAGGCAAATCTACCCAATTCTCCCGTTCGGAAACAATATGTGAAAAACAGCCATGTTTCGAAATTTGCACTTCTCAGAATTTTGCAGTGCAGTTCTCCAGTGAAGTAATGTGCATGAAATAGTATATATATTGCAGCAAAGGTGCATAAAAATGCACATACTAGAGAAAATAATATACAAAATGCATTATATTAGAAAAAAATATTTCACAAGAAAGCATATTAAGTAAAATTGCACAGAAAAGTATGTATATTAGGAGAAATTTACCCTAAAATGCTGGTGAATTTTCACAATGACTTTAGAAGAAGAAGAAGAAGAAGAAGAAGAAGAAGAAGAAGAAGAAGATCACAAACTGATGTGGGTATGTGCAGAAATGAACTCAAGACTGGGAAAAAATGAAAAGAGAGGAATCTAAATGGACAAGAGCCTGAGATTTGGTATTTATGATGGAAGCCCTCTTCAGGCCTCTTCTGTCATAGTGATAGTACACATATGAAGGGTGCAACAAAGACTAGTTCTGCCCCCACATTGCTGCTTCTGTCTATATCCTACTTATGGAAGATAACAGTCTGAAACAGGAACCTTTTCAACCTGTGGAAGCTCCAAGAGAGCCCTGCATAATTGGGGTTCTAAAATCTGTGGAGAGCCTCAGCCTTCCTGCTTTGGGCTGTCACCTTCCTGGAAGTCAACAAAAAGGCAGCAGAGAGGAGCAAAGGTAGCAGGCTCATTTCCCCTTCTCTTTCTCTCTCATGTGTTTACTGCCACTGTCTAGTAGAAACCTGAGAAGCCATTGTATTCTGCTCTATTCTCCCCTTCCCCTGCAAGTTGCCTTCTTCTAAAAACTTCATCTCACTGTCTGCTGTAGCGAACTTGTGTAGCGTATGTAATTTACGTGTTTAGTTACATAAATCACGCAAGTCACATTGCCATTACGTGATTCCACACCGTTCATTTCAATACAAAGGGAAACATAATGCAAATGTGGGTCGGGGGTGTGTGTCATCAATTGCATGTTGTTTATTAATTGAAAGGAACAGCAGCAGTGAATCCTGTTTCTATTCACTGGATTGATTTGAATTCCAGACATGGGACAAATAAGCAATCACCATCAATTTCCAGTCCCATTTCTGTTTTCACTGGAATTCTCTGTCTACTAATACCAGAAGAGGCTCAACGATCTCCTTCTCTTCCTCCCTCTAAAATGGTATCGGAACTACAACACAACAGCCTCAACACTGTGTGACAGAATTCACTTTTATGTCTCAGGGCCAATTTGCTCAATCAGTGGAGGTACTAATTATTGAGTAAAAAGCTTGTCATATGATATATTGCTTGGTTTATTCGCATAATAAAAGTCAATCCCCAAGAGCTGATTTGTGATATCCATTCAACAAAACCAAGCTAGAATGTGAATAAATCCAGCCTGGTTTCTCCCCATCACCCACACAGAATGTGGTGGTATGCAGGGCTTTTTTTTCTTCATTTGGAACACACCAGAACTCAGTTCTGGCACATCTCAGGTGGGTGCCATTGCCATTATAAGAGAAAAAGGGAGGCGTTCAGGTACCTCTTTTTCTAGAAAAAATAGCACTGGTATGCTTCAAAAAATAAAAGGGGGAGTGATAAGAGGATATGGTGTTCTTGAAAGCTAAACAGGACTCAAGCTGGTCAATAACTGGACAGGAAACCACCCAGAGAAATCACAGGAGATAAAAAAATGCATAATTATGTTTAGTCCTAGAAAATATTTCATTAGCCTTTGATGCAAATTATCCCCTTTCCGTTCCGTAGTTCAAATTTGAGCTGTCTTGGCAGTATCGCATCAACACCATTGAAAAGCTGGCACTGTTGGCCAAGAATATGCATTGCTGTTTGTATGCTTTACTTATTATTTATTAAAATGCTCCAGGAGCTTGGATATGAATTAACTTTTTTTCTGCTCAGTATTTATCACCATTTCACCTTCCCTCATTGAAATGGAAACTGCAACTGCTTTTGATTAACCGACTGAAAAAGAATCATATAGTTTCCCTGTCAACTTGGAAGCACCTCTCCAAAATCTGATGCTAGGAGGCTATTTCATAGCGCTGTGTTCCTCAGTAATTCTCCACAGTTTGTTTTATGCTTCCTGGAGAGAGAACTAGGCTTGGAGTGAGGTGGCCGAAAACTAGATTGTGATTTCTTATTGTGGGTAGAGGAATCACTGCAATATTAGGTTATGAGGACACTAGGTCAAAAGATTTCCCTCTATTTCTTGTCCAGATTCCAGTTCAAGCCCATTTCCATTCTGCACTATTTCAATGTAGCATCACAGAAGGTTTTCAATCCTCATCTCCTTACGAAGTGCTTAGAGTGGGGCACCATTAAAAACAATCAAACAAACAAACATATGGAGATATGTGCAGACAGCTAGATTGCCACCAGCTAGTCATATAAAATTTTGCCTGCTATGAAGAGACTGATGGCATGGTCCATGGTTCACTCACAATCTGGTAAGAGTGTTTAGTACTACATCCCAAAATTTCAAGAATATTGTACAACAGCCCTAAACTTGTGAGTTATGCAACAGCCAAAGTCAGCCAAAGACACTCATGAGAAGACCTCAACCAGAAAGAAGGCATTTTTGATCCCTACCTGCACACATCTAGCTTATCCCTTCAAACTGATTCAATAAATAAGAGGTGTGAAAAAAGACACTGCTACCAAGTTAGCATCATTCAGTCAGTCTGTCTTCTGGGTTATTGATCCCTGCAGATCTCCCGAATTTGGAGTGTGGTTTTTTTTTTTAATTATGCAAATTACATTATTGTACCTTTATCTTTTCACTAATGAATTTTAGGTTTCTACGGAGAAGAGTGATTGACTGCTCAGCCTAGATTCAGTGCAGATAAAGGCACGACAACGCTCTCCCTGGCAAGGCCTTCAACAATTCCTCAAAATTCAGCTTCCCCTTTGCAGTGGCTGCCTAGGGATCTGTACAATGCTGCCAATTTAGCTGAAGCTTGGCCCAGAGAATTCAGAACAATCTTTTCTGATACAATGTGCAGGGACCAATCATTGGCTATTTGAAAGCCTCCAATTCAGCCTTTTTTTCTGCATAAGTGGCTCTTTTATGGTACCTCACGCCATTCCCTTATTGAATTCTGAAATCCTTCATCATTCCATATTGTCCACTATGCACAGTGAAGGATCTCTCTTAAGCTACTAAAGCCCTAGATGAAGTGTGTGGGCTGGTGTGCGCATGCTATTTTCCAGGACTGAGCCCACTCACTTGGTTTCCTGGTTGCAGCCCAAACTTAATCTCTAGACCTGATCCAGTTACAAAAAAAGAGTATGCAAAACTGATGTAGAGTAGAGATCCTTTGACCTGGAGCAGGACTTACTCCATGTTACTGGGGGACCCTGCCCACAGGACGTCCGTGGCTGTCTTGTATCCTTCCTTTCCTCCTTTTCTTAACATGATACTAAGGTACGAAGGTTAGAGTATCAAGCTAGGAGGACACATAAAAGGAAGCACTTGTTTAGGCAGTGCATAGTTAAACTATAGAAGTCGCTCCCACAGAACGCTGAGATGACACCAACTTAGATGGCTTTGGTGGGAATGTTCAGGGTGGCAGGAGAGGATATATTGCTTATTAATATCCTTCCTAACTTGCACTAGCAAGTTCCTTTACTTAGCAGAGTTTACATTCCCCTTCTCACCGACAGCAGAAAACTAGCTGCAAACTTGTGTGAGTTTCTTAAGACAATACACCATTCAATCTGGCTTGTCCAGATTGAAATGTGTTCTAATATTTCCCAGGTAAGACCCCTTGAATCCCTCCTAAAAGAATAGACACCACAATCTTATTCATAAGCAATAAAATGTAGTTTTACTTACGATCAGTCAGAGCACAGTGTGATTCCTGAAGGCAGGCTTTAGGCTTGCAGTTACAAAATTATACTAACAGGTTTATCCCATGAGGGAGATGACCTGGGGGACTGCTTGGCTGACAGCCAGCAGTTCATTCCAGGAAGTTCGCAGGATGAAAATAAGATGGAAGAGAGAGAGAGAGAGAGAGAGAGAGAGAGAGAGTCAGCATGCCTTGACCTTTTACCAGGTCTGGAAAGGTCACGCCCACCCACTAGTCACATGAAAGAAAGGATGCTCCGGGCCAGGAGGAACAGGAAGCTTCGACTGGCTGGACCAAACATTCCATTGCATGTCCACTCTAGGAAAACAAGGAATGTTGTACTTGACTGCTCTCAGTGGATTACACCCCACAGCTTTGAAAGAGGTTTAGTCATGATGATTATGCTCTGCCTACACAGCTGGGGGGAGCAATACTTCTGAAAACCAGTGGCTGGAAACCACAAGAGGGTAGAGTGCTCTTGTGCTAATGCTCTGCTTCTTGGTTTCCCAAAGGCATCTGGTCTCAGGGCCACAATACCTCAAGGGCTGCCTCTCCCCATATGAACAAATTTGGACTCTGCAGTCATCATCTGAGCCCCTTCTTTTGTGCACCTCCTCCTTAGGAGGTCTGGAGGGTGGCAACACCAAAACGGTTTTTTTTCTGTGGTGTCCTGTTTCACTTCAACTAGGCCTTGGGCTGATTAACATTCTATGCCCTAAATGTATTTGTGGGAGGTGGGGTTATGGGTTTGTTTCATTCTTGTTTTTATTATGTATTATGTGTTTTTCTTTTATATTTT